CAAATGCCTTCTCTGCATCAATTGAGATAATCATGTGGTTTTTGTTTTTGGTTCTGTTTATGTGGTGAATTACGTTGATAGACTTGCATATGTTGAACCAGCCTTGCATCCCCGGGATGAATCCTACTTGATCATGATGAATAAGTTTTTTGATTTGCTGTTGCAATCGGCTTGCCAATATTTTATTGAAGATTTTTGCATCTATGTTCATCATGGATATTGGCCTGAAGTTTTCTTTTCTCGTTGGGTCTCTGCCGGGTTTTGGTATCAGAATGATGTTGGTCTCGTAAAATGATTTGGGAAGGATTCCCTCTTTTTGGATTGTTTGGAATAGTTTTAGAAGGAATGGTACCAGCTCCTCTTTGTGTGTCTGGTAGAATTCGGCTGTGAACCCGTCTGGACCTGGGCTTTTTGTGTGTGGTAGGCTCTTAATTGCTGCCTCGACTTCTGACCTTGTTATTAGTCTATTCATAGTTTCAGCTTCCTGGTTTAGGTTTGGGAGGACACAGGAGTCCAGGAGTTTATCCATTTCTTCCAGGTTTACTAGTTTATGTGCAGAGAGTTGTTTGTAATATTCTCTGATGATGGTTTGAATTTCTGTGGAATCTGTGGTGATTTCCCCTTTATCATTTTTTATTGCATCTATTTGGTTGTTCTCTCTTTTATTTTTAATCAATCTGGCTAGTGGTCTGTCTACTTTGTTGATCTTTTCAAAAAACCAGCTCTTGGATTTATTGATTTTTTGAAGGGTTTTTCTTGTCTCAATCTCCTTCAGTTCAGCTCTGATCTTAGTTATTTCTTGTCTTCTGCTGGGTTTTGAGTTTTTTTGATCTTGCTCCTCTAGCTCTTTCAATTTTGATGATAGGGTGTCAATTTTGGATCTCTCCATTCTCCTCATATGGGCACTTATTGCTATATACTTTCCTCTAGAGACTGCTTTAAATGTGTCCCAGAGGTTCTGGCATGTTGTGTCTTCGTTCTCATTGGTTTCGAAGAACTTCTTTATTTCTGTCTTCATTTCATTGTTTACCCAGTCAACATTCAAGAGCCAGTTGTTCAGTTTCCATGAAGCTGTGCGGTTCTGGGTCGGTTTCTGAATTCTGAGTTCTAACTTGATTGCACTATGGTCTGAGAGGCTGTTTGTTATGATTTCAGTTGTTTTGCATTTGTTGAGCAGTGCTTTACTTCCAATTATGTGGTCAATTTTAGAGTAGGTGTGATGTGGTGCTGAGAAGAATGTGTATTCTGTGGATTTGGGGTGGAGAGTTCTGTAAATGTCTATCAGGTTTGCTTGCTCCAGGTCTGAGTTCAAGCCCTGGATATCCTTGTTGATTTTCTGTCTGGTTGATCTGTCTAATATTGACAGAGTTCCACCTATTTTTAAATTGCTTTTCTGAGATGTGATTTTGCCTTCTGTCCTGAAATTCCCCTGGCAGTTGGCTCAGGGAAGAATGGGCAGCTTACACCACCCTCTGATGGCTGTAGGATTCATTGCCATGAGAGCAAGGGGCTAAGTTACATGGCTGTGGGTTACCGGACTGGGGACTGGCTGAGTCAGTTGTCAGCAATAACCACATGACAGAGAAAAGCTGAGCCGCCCCAAACATATCCTGGATTTCATAATCAGAAAATCCAGACAGAGCTATTTTTATTTTAACAGGCACATAACTTTTGAGTAAGTATGGGCATGAGGTGGCACCACATACTTTTCAGTGCTTGGGGCCTCTAAATATCTGAATCCAGTCTCCACATACTTTTCAGTGCTTGGGGCCTCTAAATATCTGAATCCAGTCTTGAATAAATCAGTTTACCTAATTCTTTATATGTTCTGTTTCCTTAGGTGCATGGCTGTGTTCAATACTAGCTTAACCTGCAAGGTGCAAAGATTCTGCAAGGCTGACTGAGTCCAGGAAGCTGCCCTTGGCTACTCCAAAGCCTTGTTAATGATTATGAGTTTAGCACAGTCAAGCAGTTGGTTTTTAAAAATTATTTTAGTGCCGGGCATGGTGGCTCATGCCTGTAATCCCAGCAATTTGGGAGGCCAAGGCAGGTGGATCACCTGAGGTTGAGAATTTGAGACCAGCCTGACCAACATGGAGGAAACCCTGTCTCTACTAAAAATACAAAATTAGCTGGGCATTGTGGTGGGGCTCCTATAATTCCAGCTACTCAGGAGGCTGAGACAGGAAAATCACTTGAAACCAGGGGGCAGAGGTTGTGGTGAGCCAAGATCACACCATCGCACTCTAGCCTGGGCAACAAGAGTGAAACTCCATCTCAAAACAAAATTATTTTTATGTGTATTTTTATTATGGAAATATGGAATATGGAGAACAATGTAACAAACATTCATGCAGTCATGACTGAGAATTAGCAGTGTTAACAAATGTTAAATCCTGCCATATTTATTTCAAATCTCTTTTTTAAAAAATAAATTAGACATAAAAAAAAACAGTTACAGCACTCCCTTTAACCACTTGATTTTTCCCTATCTTGTTTTCTAATATTTCCATGTTGAGTTAGTGTAATTATCTCAATTTTATGTTGAGCATTTTGGAAATGAGAGCAAACTCTTTGCTGTTACCTGGCCCAGCAACTAGCAGCTTCTGGTGCATAGTAGGTGCTCAATAAACAGATGAGTGAATAAAATGCTTTATTTAAAAATTACAAAAAATTAATTTAATTTAATTTTTATTTTTGAGATGAGGTCTCAGTCACTCAGGCTGGAGTGCAATGGTTTGATCTCAGCTTGCTGTAGCCTTTGCCTCCCTGGTACAGGCAATTCTCCTACCTCAGCCTCCCAAGTAGCTGGGACTACAGGTGCACACTACCATATCTGAATAATTTTATTTTAAGTAGAGATGGGGTTTCACCATGTTGGTCAGACTGATCTCAAACTCCTGACCTCAAGTGATCCTCCCACCTTGGCTTCCCAAAGTGCTGGGATTACAGGCATGTGTCACCACGCCCAGCCATGAAATGTTGTTTTCTTTTGTCATCCTCCTTTATACCTCCACACACTTTCCTCATTGGGGTTTCTTTGGCTAATAATAGTGCCTATCCTTAGCTCAGGGATGGAATTTAAATTATATAATATATTGGTTTTGAAAATTATGCAATCAGGTTTTTTTTTTAGATAAATGAGTAAACATTGCTAAATCAAAAGAAAGAATAAACTTTAATTCCACCTACAAAAGTAACCAGCTTTCTTGTATAAGACCTTACAGAAATGGAACTACTATTGCATATATTCTTCTGTAGCTTGTTTTCCCCCTTCCCCCCCCTTAATAATGACTACTTTTCTAAGTCATCATATTTTCTGCTCAGTAGTTCCTCACTTCTATAGTCCTGGGGGGCGGGGGGACTGCCATATGAAGAGTCATGGGGTCTCACCACAGGTAAGAGGACGACAGTGTGGCTGGCTAGCTGACCTTTCATGCATTCTGTGGGAAGAAGTCTAGCTGGCCAGGCTATTTCTTAAGGACTGGTGAGTTTCATAATAGACTCCTGGGCTGGACATTGATTTGATATGTTTGTGAACTAGCTAGTTTACAAAATCTCAGGTGGAAATATTACTGTTTTCTTGGCCTATAAGCTGTCTGGTAAAGGCTTTTAGGAGTAGAAGCATTTAGTTAGCCCTGGGTTTAAATCTTAGCTTAGCTACTTGTCAGCCTTGCAATCTTGGGCAAGCTACTAAACCTCTCTGAGAGGGCTTCCCCTGTGAGTTGTGCCTTTTCCTCTCCCAGATTGAGGTCCCCTCTGCTGTGGAGCCTGGAGAGTTTGAGAGCCGGGTCCACAGTCACTCAGCAAAGCATTGCTGGAGCACCTCGTGTGTGCAGCTCTCTGCTAGCAGGGCCCCACAACAAACTAGTAGCAGCTCCAGACGCCATAGTGCCAGGCTGAGAAAGCCTGCCCCGGGGCAATCAGGCAGGCACCAGCCCTTTCCTCCATGTCTATTTCTTTTGAGAGGATCAGTTTCCCTCCTGAGAAACCCATCCCTCAAGAAACCTGGAAGGCAAGGTGTGTGGCCCAAGCATTTAGAAGCCAGGTGCACTCAGTAAGCAGACTTTCAGGCACACTCGCTGTTTTCAGTGTAGCATCTCTGATATAAGAAAACAGTGCAGAACTTGAGTCAGCTTCCCCGGAGAGCAATCTCCTGACATCCATGAGGTGGGCAGGGGAGTGGCCAGACTGCTCACGCTTGGGAAGAAGGCCTGGTTTGGGAATGCACGGGGCACTGGGGAGAGGGTTGTCTGTTTCTTGTGCAGACTTCAAACAATCCTGCTCTTAGGTCCATTTTGCACTCCCACCTCCACTGGCCCTGGGGACCTTCCACTCCTGAGCCTTCCTGAGTTGTTCACTGCAAGTAGATCTGCTTCTGGCAGCCAGTCAGACGTCCACTCTCTGGTGGAGGCCCATGACCTTGTGCTTTTCTTCCAGTGTGTTATTGCTGGCCCTTCTAAGGCCTTCTCCCCACATGCATGTCTGAATTTGTCCCTTTGCTGTCATTTTAGTGAGGGTTGGGGAAGGAGTCGAGATAAACGTGTGTTAAGTACACATCTTGAACCAAAAGCGGTATCCTTGTGTGCTGGAATACTGTAAATTTTATTAAAAGCTCTGAAGTGTGTCTGGCTTCTTAGGAGGACACAATGCTGGTGCTGGCTTTGTGTTAAGACTCTCTTCTGGCTTAACTAGAGTCAGGAATTGAGGGATGGCATGGTATAGGAGGTAGAGGTGCTCTGTGACCTTCGTCTTGCGAAGTCTCAATGTCCCTGTGGTACAGATGCAGTGAGAGGATGGGTGCAGGAGAGCAGAGAACACTGCAGAGGGCTGTGGCTTGTCATCACCATCCTCATGGTCAGAGTCAGTTCCATCGTCTCCTTTAACTGCATGACCAAGGGCATGTGTCACTTGGGCACAGCGACAGAATGTGGCTCTCTGGTAGGCAGGTTTAACACAGCAAATGAGTGTGAGTACCGACTGCCTCGTTTTCTTGCCAGAGGCCTCCCGTTTGGTTGGCAGAGTGGTGACCAGCTGACCAATTGGACGGGGCTCTTTAATGTCACGGATGATCCAGCAGTGCAGAGCGGCAGTGACTCCAGCTCCAGGTACAGACCCCAGGAAATGGCCAGGGAGGGGGGAAGCCTGACTCGGGGTGGCCCTGCAGCCCCTGCCACATTGTCTACTTCCTAGGGTGGAAGAAGCAGACTTGTTCTGGTGGCTCAAAACTCCCTGCATTCTGGTATCCTACCTGGTTCCTTTAACTTGAGGGTGAATGAATTTGAAGGATGAGGCGTAGGACCCAACCACAACCAAGCAGGGATTCACGGCCCTTCTATCGGGGGGTGGGGTGGGAGTCCTGAGCTCAAACTTCCATTATTCACTGGCCCTTCTATGGGGGGTGGGGTGGGAGTCCTGAGCTCAAACTTCCATTTAGGGGTGGGGGCCAAAGCTCTGTCTCTGCTGCAAGGATTTCAGATATCAGCCAACAAGTGTGTGTAGGGGTGTGCGTGTGGGTGGCATCAAGGAGTGGGCGTCAGGTGGGTGTTCCCTGCTTCTCTGAAGTCCCCTGCCCAGACAGTCCCTGCTCTTCCCACTGGGGAGGTTGTCATTGGCTGGAGCGGAACCATTTCCATCAAGATGGTGCTGAGATTTGCTATGCACTCCATCATGTGGTTATTTCCTCTTGATCAGTAATATTTGTTGAATGAACTAAAATGAAATATTCTCAGGCTGGGCACACTTATTGCAGGGAGGGTATTGTAAAGAATTTTTGCAGACGAGGCAGGATACGGTTTCTGCTGGGAGCTGGGTGTGACTGGAACCTGCCAGCTAAGCATTCCCAGGGGCTGATTAAGCTGTTTGGTTTCCTGATTTTTGTATTTCTAAGGAGGGGGTAACTCTCAGGTCCTTTTTCCTGAGAGAGAGGCTTGTAATTTTGTTGCTGGTGATTTTAACACACAGACATTAAATTGACCCTGCAGAGGAGAAGTAATGGGTTTTTCAAGGACCCCTGATATGTATGTATTTATTCAATGCTCTGATGTCAGAAACCAGTCAGGCAAAGGTCTACAGACAGGCCTGAGGGTGTGGGGTGGCCAAACGCTGTGGCCTGGGCTAGAGGGTCTTATGCTGGCCTTTGGGGCCACAGTTCTTTCCATATAAGTGCAGAGGGGGCTCTGGATGTCACAGGTGAGGTGGGGGCCCATGCTTGTCCTGGGATGCTGAGCCTCCCATGCTGGCCTGTCTGCTGAGCAGCTGCCTTCCAGGTGGTGAGCAGTCTAGGTAAGTCAGCAAGGGTGTACCTCCCTACTGGACTCCTGGGAGAGTTCTTCAAGAGGTTTGAGGTAGAACATGTGAGTCAAGGCCAGGCGTGGTGGCTCAGGCCTGTAATCCTGGCACTTTGGGAGGTTGAGGCAGGTGGATCACTTGAGGTCAGGAGTTCAAGACCAGCCTGGCCAACATCGTGAAACCCCATCTCTACTAAAAATACAAAAATTAGCCAGGCATGGCGGTACAGCTACCGAGGAGGCTGAAGCAGGAGAATTGCTTGAACCTGGAAGGCGGAGGCTGCAGTGAGCTGAGATTGTGCCAGTGTACTCCAGCTTGGGTGACAGAGCAAAACCCTGTTTTTTAAAAAAAGAAAATGCGAGTCAAGTGAGCAAGGCAGACAGACGGGCCCCTGGGAAGCTGTTTCTGGGCAGATGTCTCCAGGCAGTTGCTGAAACCATTGCCATTGCGTGGGCTCCATTCCTAAGTTTTCTTGCTGCCAGCATCTTTTGTCTTTCCTTCCTCTTGCCATGGTTTTGCCTGTAACTTCCCTTCCCCTCTCACTGCACCTGTGTTCTCCTCTGCCTTTCTTCCTGTTACCTGTTCTCAGCCCTCCTTCCTTTCTCCCTCCCCAGTGCCTCCCTCTCTCCTCCACGTCCTTGCTTGCCTACTCCCTTTCTCCCTCCCCTATGCTCTTTATTTCCTCTGCCCCTCTCTCCATGACCTAGGCCAGCTTCCTCTTTCCTATCAGCTGGGAGCCCACAGGGTCAGAGACCCAGCTGACGTCTGTTAAGTTGGTTTTGGAGTTCAGGTGCCTTTGATGCAACATTATTACCAGCTGAGTTGACTTCCTTCTGGAGCACTCCCATTTGAGCCAGAATTCCCTTAATCACAGAAAAAATGGCATGAACACAACTCCCACATTTCCTGGGACAATTCCAATTTCAAATCTCCACTTCAAGTTGACCCCAAAATACCCACCTGGTTGAAGGACTCCACATGTGGGAAATAATGGTTAATGTAGTTGAAATGGAACCGGATGTTGAAGATTTTTCACCCTGGCATGTGAGCAGCTCCTACCTTCTTTAAAATGGGCAGGACAGCTCCTGGCAGCAGATGTGCAGAGCATGGGGGAGGACCTAACGAGGACACCATGTACATTGTCCCAATTAACAACTCTCCAAATCTGGAAGATGGGATGAGCTTCATGGTATTATTCACCTATTGAATAATTCAGTGCATGCCATGTTTTGCTATCTATAGTTGTGTGGTGTTGAAGTGTGGTACAACCTGTTATTTATTATTAACAGTTTGGAAAGGAAGTCAGGAAGTACCAAATATAACCAGAGGATGAAGAGGGGCAAAAAAGCAAATGACTCATACATGGTATATACTCAAGCAGGAGCCACAGGGAGAAGGAACCAGTCCAAATGATTAGTCCGGAAAACTCCAACAGGACCACAAAGCAAATCCAAGCCAGATAGTGCTCATAAAAGGCTATGGTCAGATGTTCCTATTGGTCGCAGGCTGGGGGAAGTCCAGGCTGAATTAGAAAGGTGAGAGCTCTCAGATATACATTGACAAATAGCTTTATTAGTTTCAAGTCTAGGTCTATAAAGTGTTGTCCAATAAGCATCCTTAGGGGAACTGCTTTAATGAGCATACAGGAATAATTTTTTTCTTTTCTTTTTGAGACAGAGCCTTACTCTATTGCTCAGGCTGGAGTGCAGTGGTGCAATCTCGACTCACTGCAACCTCCACCTCCCAGGTTCAAGCAATTCTCCTGCCTCACCCTACTGAGTAGCTGGGACTACAGGCACCTGCCACCAGGCCTGGCTAATTTTTGTATTTTTAGTAGAGATGGAGTTTCATTATGTTGGCTAGGCTGGTCTTGAACTACTGACCTCAAGTGATCCACCCACCTTGGCCTCCCAAACTGCTGGGATTACAGGCATGAGCCCCCGCACCCAGCCAGAATAATTTTCAATCAGCAAATATTTCTATTTAGGTGGATGTTTTGCACAAGTAGGAAGGCCTATGAAGACATTTCTCATGTGTTTACAATTCCATCTTCTCAGCAAGACAGTGATTGTGCATCTTCAGTTCTGAATTCTCAGCACCTAGCGTGGCACGTGTTATGTAGTAGGTGTTCAATAAATGTGAATTATGTAAAAAAAAAATGAATTAAGCAAGGAAATAGTAAAGACTATTGGTAAGAAAGCAAACTTCCATTTCAGTGTTTCTGAGTCTCCCCTTAGAGATTTATTCCTTTGGATTCAACCTTGTCTCCTGTCACTGACTTTGAAAAATTGTCTCCTTTCTGGAAACACTTTAGAACCAGAAACTCATTCACAGGCTAGAATTGCCAGATTATTTTCTCTTAAAAAGAGCCGATAGTAGGGCAGGCTGAGTGTGCAAAGGAAGACTGATAGTTGTTGGGGGTGAGGGATAATGACTACTTCCTCCTGAACACCCCTCACCGAGCATGGCCCCTCTGGAGAGGCGGAGGATAGCGGGTACGTGCCCTTCATGGTCAGCTCCAACCCTGATCCCTCTGGCCTGGCCTAGCTCCTGTCTGCCCAGCAGCTGCTCAGAGAGTAGGGGAAGGCAGCAGCGCCCTCATGGTCATGGTCTCTGTCCTGCAGTGTGGGCAGTGTTGCATGTACTGCCTCAGGACTTCCTGGGAAAACATGCCCCCCTTCAGTCAGAGACAGAGGACAGCTGAGGCAGGAGTCCTCCAGGCATTGTCCCAGCAGAGTTGACTGTCAGTCTGGCCCATTGCCACAGCACAAAGGGCTTCACTCAGCTTCTGCCAACTGCGCCTGGCTCTACATCCAAGTCCTCGTCCTCCCACCAGTACCCACTTACTCCTTGAAGCCTTCCCTGCTAGCCCCAGCCCAACCGAATCCCCTTTAACTCTGCCTTCTGTAGATGTGCCTGCCTCCAGGGCAATTTCTGTCATGCACACACAGGGAACTCTCTGGCAAGTGTACATAATCCTTCTATGTTTGCTCAAGTATTCCCCAATCCCGAGGAGCCTCTGGCCTTGGAGAACTGGGCTGGACCACCTGTGCAAGCATCTCCAGGACCCTCTGGATCTTCTACATCCAGGCACAGCCATAGGCTCCGTGGCTGGCGGTTGTCCTTACTGGCCCCTTTTCCACACTCCACACCAATCTTGGCCCTCCGGGTCATGCCACTGGAATGGGCTGGCAAGAGGAGGTGTGGAAGGCAACTCAGGAGACACTTCTCTTTAGACATGGTGGTGCATGCTTGTAGTCCTAGCTACTCAGGAGGCTGAAGTCAGAAGATCATTTTAGCCCAGAAGTTCGAGGCTACAGTGAGCTGAGATTGTGCCACTGCGCTCCAGCCTGAGTGACAGAGTAAGACCTTATCTCAAAAAATAACAATAATTTAAAAATCCCCCAGTAGATCACTCTGTATGACTGTTGTCAAAGCTGCAAGGTTGATCTCAGACAAGAAGATCTTAGGGTCTGTCGTCTCCACCTTCCCTGTGTCTTCCACTTTCTATCTTCTGTATCCTCCTCCCTCCTGCCTTCCCAACTGTGCTTAGTGTTTTTCTGATTGTTGCCTCTGAAAAATGTATCCCTCCACCTGCTCCTGGCAATTATGCATTTCAAAGAGGAGTGTGGGGGCAGTGCGACCCCTGCAGTCCTGAATGCCAGAATGTCATCATGGCCAGGCTGAGCAGAGGAAGTGCACTCCTGCATGGCAGGTGTGGCTGGCCCACTTAAGACTTCCTGGTCAATGTGCACTTCTGCAGGAAAACAGGGAAAAAGAGCCAGAGCTCTTGGGCTTCACCCAACTGAGAAGGATT